ATCTAGATTTTGAGCAGAAAAATACACATTAAATAGGGGTCACGGAGGGCAATCCAATCTACGTACATTTTAACTACCTTCGGAATGTGCTGCAGATGCCGGTTTTATCTTCAGAGGTGACCTCTTCTTGATCTTGGTTGAAATAACTTAGAAGGAGAGGGTTTTGGCACCTTTTCCCTTTTTTTCTTGGAGCCGAAAACCCCTGGTTCCCCTTTTCAACCGCGCCATGTCGAATCGGAACTCCCATTCGGAGGATGGACCCTTCTTCTTCTGATGGCGGAACTTGTCACTCAAGCTCTTCCACTTGGTGGTACATTCGGCTTGTACCACCCTTTCGTTGAAGAGGTCAAGAAGAAGATCTTCAACCCTTCCAAAGTTAACTGCAGTTGCCTTGAATGTTGGTCCGGTCTGGAGCTGTCTGCAGCAGTCCAAGAATGGCAAATTTGGGTCGACTCACGAAAAATCTTGACTTTCCGAGCACTTTAAGTGCCAATTTTGGAGTTGTTACGGCCGGTTTTTTTACCCCCTCCACTCTAGGGGGTGCACAGCTCGTTAGGGGTGGCCAACGGCTTGCGCACTTCCTGATCCTCGAGATAAATGATTGGGACGCCTGCATGCCAATTCTTAGCTTCCTTGCTCAAAAAACATAGAATCTACGTCAGTTTGAAAGTTCCGCCCGCTAATTTTGATGAGCAGTGTAGTTGTATTCTCAGGGTAGTTGGCCGTTACTTGGGTAGTCATCCAGTAGAGAAACTGATCCTACATAAGAAGAAAAGGGATATTAAACCATAGAAAGACAGCTCAACAAGGAGACAAAAAGAAAAGAAAGCTGAACTCCCCACAATTTTGACAGAGAACATCCATCAATTTTGGGTGGAGTAGAAAAACACACCTTAAAATAAAAGGTGGGCATAGCCTCAATGGCCACTTTGTCAGAGAAGGCAGATTCGCAGACAATTACTGCATCGTAAATCATGTTAAAAACAACATTACAGTCTAAGTACTTGAAAGGGTGTGTGGCTGAAATTTCCCACACTTTGACAGCTTCCTCGTGATGTGGCCCCGCACGCCCGACCGCCGTTGCACAGCCAGACGCCCCCTCCCCCGTCCCTTCTATCCCCTATCACCTTTCTCTCTCCCCGTGCGACGTCCGACGAGTTCGACAAGATTCGTGTCTGACGCCACGGGGAAGTTCCGATGAATAGTCGAGACGTTCGCGAAGGGTAGCCTACCCACACGGCGGCACGCGCTCTGCACTGCGCTGTCTACTGTTGCAGTGTACACGTTCAGGGTCATATTAGTTCTCGAGCACACAACACGTCCGACCGTCAAGCGAGTGTTCTGTCCCCGTGGCTTGGGTGGCACAGTTTTCGTCGTAACCGAAGGCACATATATGTTTCAGGTAGTTGAGAGTTTCCCAACAAGCCTCAGCCTAGAGCGACCAGTGCGGTCTGGTCTACAAGTCCACAACTGTACAAGCGTCGACAATCGTCTTTACTATGCTAGAGCTTTCATTTCAAGAGGAGGGCATGGCTCACCACAGCAGCTTCGTACTAGCGGTGCTTGTTTTGGCATACTTGGCTGACCACATGGAAAGCACAATATTTCTAGTTTACGTCGCAAACACGATAACAAGTAATGCTATTCAGCACATCGAAAGCTAACAACCTCGCCCCTGTAATCTTCATTTGCTTACTTTCTTTGGGATCATTTTTATTGTTATTACAACCAAAGAACGTCTCAATAAGTCAACACTTCAAAGAGTATAAAGCGAGGGCAAAAAGATAAAAATAAATAAATAAAATAGCAGAAACAACCTTCATTCCTTCAATTTTTAGCCCGCTCTTTTGCACAAAAGCTATATATGCGGGCTTATGCCATCGCCTCTGTGTTCGTCTGCCTGTCTGTCTGTCCGTTACCCAAGAAGGACGTGAGCTAGAGGTTTGAAATTTTCAGGGTATTATTGTTGTCACTTCTGGGCAACGAAACGGTTGGTGCAAAATCCTGGCAACCACCCCTGAGTGGGTCTGACGGGTTAACAAAGAAATGGGGTTGGTGCAAGAAGCGGGAAAAAAAAAATATTTCCTTATGGTCTCCTAAGGGGTAACTCGTGAAAGTTCAGCCGTTCAGGCGAAAATTTCGTCCGTTTGGCTCTATCTCTTACCGTTTAGGCGCTAAAGCGAGTTTCTCTCACGAAAGTGGCCCAAAAATAAATACATAAATTTTAGACAATATTTGATGGTCTCTCAAGGGGTCACTTGAGAAAGTAGAACCCTTCGGACGAAAATTTTGTCCGTTTAGCTCTATCTCTCACCGTTTACGCGCTAGAGGGAGTTTTACCCACAAAAGTGGCTTCAAAATAAATAAATAAATTTTAGAAAACATTTGATGGTCTCCTAAGGGGTAACTTGTAAAAGTAGAGCCTCTCGGGCTTAAGTTTTGTCCTGTTTAGGGAGTTTTTCTTACCAAACTGGCCAAAACAGCTGTTTTTATCTGGTGTCTATTATCAAGTAGCCTATTTCCTTTGGCGGTACTCTTGTACCTGGCGCCCAATTTAGTTGTGAGACTTTAAGTCAAAGAGTTCACCCTCACCCACTCTCCATCTTCTGGCTTGCCGGTGCCACCAGTATAAACATTTAGTTAGTTAAAATATTGAGGCTACATTTTGTCACGGTCCTATTGAGTTAAAGCTTATATTTTGACAAAACTTGATGAGTGGAGTGTGGGTTGCTTTATATGTATAGCTTTTGAATAGGCCATGATAAAAAAAATGATAAGCAAAATATAACATGTTGCATAAGTAGGGTTTAATATATATATCAGGAGATCATCAGAAATACAATACAATCACAAGGTAAGTTGATACACATTTATATTGTGACAAATAGTGATGTACAAATTTTGAATTAATAATTATTTCTATTGCAGGTATTTAACAAGAGCAAATCAACAATTAAATGGAAGTTACTGTAATAATAGAACAACTAATGAGTAGTCAACAAGTTTATCCAACAACACCGGGCTGTACCAAAAAACTGCATAAGATTTGGGTGAGTAAACAAAGTAGCAAACAACAAGGTAAGATTTGCAGTACAATAATAAGTTTCTCAAATCTGTCCACAGAGCATCGTAACACCATCTAGCACTTTCAGGTAAGTTGAAGTGTAAATAATATTGTCTATATAAACAATTGCAGCTATTAGTGGTCATATTAAATTTCAGGTCAGATAAAGACGAATAAAATCAGCCAACCAAGGAAGGACCAAAGCACGGAGAAACGACCGCTTCACCATTGAAACTAAAGCAGTATAATTTTGTACTTGTTTACGAGAAAGTTACTGTAATTGTTTAAATATTTATATCGTATGAATTGGAAGGCTTTATAAACAATCAACTGATTTTAATAAATTAGGTTTAGAGAACATTGAGAACATTTTTGTAAACCCTCATAGAATTGATCATAGCATTGAGCAACATATCACAGCACAACAAAGAAAATTGTCTAAATATCAAACATACAAGTTTCGATGTGCAAATTTGAAACAAAGCACACGGTAAACAACAACAATATACCAATGACAACAGATTCATATCACAAAGTTATCAAAAACACAGAAAATGACAAGAGAGCATACACTGTCCTGATAACGGAGAAATTTTCAAACACTATGAATAATTTCAAACCCAAAGTTATATGGGGCGTCCCCCTTAAGAGAAATAATGCAATGATTAGGCAAACAGCATACTAATATAATTAGATTACGGCATAAACGCCAACCACAATGGGGAAAAATCACAACCGACCACTATAAACAGTGGGGGAATACAGGCATTAAACAGCCAAACAAGAAGCAAAAGGTAACCCATAAACAAGGGATTGCTGAAGTTGCATTATTTTAGTATTACAAACGTTCAAAAATGAACGTACGAGTGCAAGAGCACATAACAGTGTATTAAAACACTACATTTACAAATGTACATTATAGTACAACAGTGTACAAAATACAAAGTACACACAATAACGGTACAAAGTACAAAACTCTTGGCCAAGGAATAAATAAATAGAAGAGTGCACTCACCAAAAAGTCGCTTAGCAGCGTAAAAGCAACTTTGAAGAAAAATCACCGGCAAAGGGGGGCGCCTCCCCAGAGCCGGGAGATGAACAACAAGGAAGTGACGTCATTCTGACTACGTCACAAAACAACTTCACTCAGCGTAAATAACAGAAAATTAGCCCAAAGGCACTAGGGCACAAAACACTAACACAAGCCCCAAAGGCACTAGGGCACTGAGCACAAAGAAAGGCCGTTCAGACGGTGAGACGGAACTGACGTCACGTCGGCGACACGTCATGCGCCGGAAGTTTCCGACGTGGACGAGAGAAGAACAAGATCTTCGTACGGCCCACATGGTGAAATTGGAGGTGTTGCAGCAGGGACACGGAGGCAGGGCGTTCAGGTGAACTAGCCCATCATGGGTCTAGGCCCAACACAGACGGCCCTGAGTACAAACATGTACAGGTTAGCATGGTTGTTGACTAATTAAAATACCTCTTCCCTTGCTGCTGAGACACACACCTTTCCCGACTCTCTCCCATTCTTCTTCTCATGCTCCCCTTCTACTCTTTCCAACAATTCACTCAACCTATCAATTTCCTTCTGCAAATGCTCCTTTTCTCTATTAGCTTCAATTTTAAAAAGTAACATTGAGTCCAGCCCCTCATTGATGGTCCGGACAGCCCCTAAATAAGACTCGTCAGAGCCGTAGCTAACCTCAGGTTTTGGCACTTTAGTTTTCTTTAGCAATACGCTTAATTGTTGGTCTAATTTGACGGTCAACAAGTCATCATTACTATCCAACATTGATTTTAATTTTTTTCCTAGTGCGCTTGCTGATCTTCCAGGGAATTCCTTTGACATATCATGAAGAAATGACTGCGGTTCTTGGCTACAGTAATTGTTAGAGACATAAGCGAGTATGTCATTGAGCTCTTTATCAGAGTATGGTTGGCGACCATGCTTGACAGAATCCACAGCAGCCATCTCACTAGTGGTGACGTCGGGGTGTAGGTGTGGACGGTGGGACACACGACACACGAGGCGAGAGAGTCTCTTAGAAATATTTTTAGGCCCCCGATTAGGGGTGCCTATTGCTTTCGCCCGAAAGTTTATTTTTATTCTTGACGATGGCCCCTTATGGCAGAGCCAATCGTGCCCAAGCGAATTTAATGAAATTTGAATAAAAAATACTACGAAAAATTGTAATTTTTTTGAGATATGTTTAATGCATTTTTGTCTGATGAAATTTGAGAAATTTGAGTTTGCATCCACGCGTTTCCATGGAAATGACGAGCTGAGCAGCAGGCCGAGTCGAGCCAGGTAAATTTCGGCCAATCACAAATTTGCCCGGGAAAGTTCCACCAATGGAATCGATCGCCTGTTGCTTTGTACAACCCTATCCAAAAAATTATTTGGCCCTGGCGTCGATATAGTGGTCGCGTTTAAATAATACTATCGTGCCGCCGTGTATAAAGATGCAACACAGACGCCGTTTTAAACGCGGCCGCTGAGCGCCCGCCACAGCTTTGATTGTTGCCTGGGAGTGTAGTTCCGCCTTGTAATAATTTCGTTTTAAAAGGGGCGGAAAGTATACTGATGCAGCCAACCTATAACGGAAAATATATATTATGCTTTTACCTTATTTAAGATTATAAGTGTCAACATACAATATAAAACACGTCTAAATGTGTACGTGTTTTTAATATATTAAACACTTATCAGTGATCTCTTATCTGACGCTGTGTTAGTAATATTTTAAAAAAGTTCACGTTCCTTGTCGTGAATGTCATGGCGGTGTTCATTTGAGCAAGCTAGCTTGGCGAACGATCAGCATACTAAACTTTGAAATATTTCTAATAGATAAATTGTTTAGAATTTTCAGTGTACAGGAAATTTACCACCGTACGTATAAATATTTTTAATAGATCATTTAATTTAATCTGATCAACATAAGTTTCCTAGATATTTGGCTGCAGTGTACATCAAAATCAGTAACTACCAATGTAATGAATCATTACATGCCAATGTTCACGTCAAAATCTAAGGGGGCCGTTAACGCGTTAGCGTTAGAATTTTTACTTTTTCATAAGTACACTTCTGTCTGAGAAGTATGCCGTCGGTTCAAAATTTTCCTCTAAACAGAAGAGTGGGCTTATCTTATGGTGGCACATCATTAAAAAAATGTGTACACTCCCATGCAAAAGAAAGAAAAACAAACATTTATTTCGTTGTACAATAAATGTATGGCCTTCACTTTGAACGCATTACATAAGGCTTCCATCTCTAAAGACAGAATTGCCCGGTCAAAACATCAAGATTATTCTAAACCTGTGATGAACGAAGTGCAATTAATTCGCCTGATTTTAAATGGTGTCCAAAACGAAACACACTAGGACCCACTGAAATGGTTAATGTCAGAGCAGAATGCAAAACATCATGAGCTGCCAAAGGTAAGACTGAACACATTCTAAATCAGCAGTACAGTTCAGAAAGTTACTAAACTGAGGTCAAAAGAATGGGTCGCATGAAACTTGCCTAATCCACAGTACAAGACTATATTAAAGCCAGCATGAAGACCATGTCCGGTCCAGTCCGTTTTCGTCACCCACACGACTCTTATCGTCGATTTCATATAGAACGCTTTGAGCTTACAGCACAAACGGGGGCATATTCGGTATACTGAGAAAATTTCGCATCGATGTGCTGCTGGTTTGGACTTTTAGGAGCCAAAGGGGTTGATATATTGCCCACAACTGCAAATTTAGTGATTTGTCCCAGGTGATTTGGTGCCGCACATATGGCCCATATATGGTACCATATATGGGCCATATGTGATACCTCATATATGGTCCATATATAGCATAATATATGACCACATGTGGGACAATATATTCAAACATGTGGGCCCATATATGCTTATATGTTTACAAATATATGACAACATGTGACTCTTCAGCAACCTCCGGGCTTCTACGTCCTGAGGCCTGCAGCGTTCGAAAAACACTTCGTCTACATCAACTTTTTGCTCTGATCACAATGGTGGTGTTTTCATTGTCATATCTGAAGCCGTTCTCGAGATATTGGGAAGGTGTTGGGGGT